ATGGAGAAGACCCAGGCCCCAGACATCCAGAGGCCCTCCAGAGTGCGAAAGCCCAAGGAGGACCACTGGAGAGGCAAGTGCACCACATTCCCAGAAAGAGCTGAGGAGAGCACCAGATGTGGGGTCACCTGCAGCCACGGTGCAGATGCCACAGGTGGCTGCGGCGATGAGCACGCAGGCCATGCCGGCAGACAGTCATGCCGGCAGACAGTCATGCCAGAGCAGATCGAGCCCCAGTCCGAGGGAACCCCACCCCCCAGATAGGGTCCGACCTGGCCAGGGGCACCAGGCCTCGCCAAGCAGCCAGCGGGAGTATGCGGGGTACATACCTGAGCGCCCAGCCCCGGACACTGAGAACCACCAAAGGTTCTGAGAGCTGAGGGCATCAGTTTGACATAGACAAACCGGCACACACAGACACAAGCATACATTCCCACCCTCATGCACATAAATACAAATACTCAGCACTTGTGCAACGTGGAGACAAACAGAAATGAACACTATACACCCTTTCACACTTCCCAAACATACTCTACACTCCGAGGTACAGGTACCACCGCCCCCAGGGGGGCAATGAGCCCCCAGAGCCAGGAGATGTTACCCTTTTCCCTGGGGTGGAGGGACGGACTGCCCTCGGCCTGGCAGCCACAGGGATGGCCCAGCGTCCCAGACCCCGACCAGACTGCCAACTCCTCCCAACCCCCTGCCCCGATCGTGTACAGAGAATGGGGGTGTGAAGACCCCACACCTTACTCAGCCCGCTCATATGTCATGTTGATGTGTAATGTTCTAAAGTGCATTTAAAACACAGAAGTGGCATGGTGCTTCCTGCCAGAAAGCAGTAGGTGTCAGCACAGCCCCTCCCGCCCCTCCTGGGGCACCGGCCCCAGGAAAGACTATTATTTAAAGTTTGTGTTTTCGGAGAGTAACAATGCACTGTGTCACGCATTCAAACTACAAAGCATACCAAATGTTCTTGCTTTCTTTGAAGAGGATCAATGAAACCAAAAGCCTCTGCAGAACGATTACAAGTCCAGTTTTACTATGATTTTTTTTAAGTGGTTTACCTGAAACTGAGTGTAACTGCTATATCTTTTCTATCCACAGGCTTTGGGGAACATGTACTTCATCCACAAGACACTGAACAATATACAACAGTATGACTTTCATGGTAAAACACCACAACGCTCACATAGATTTTTTATTTCATCATTCATCATGTTGTGCTTCTTTTCCAAACAGAAAACCCACCACTGCACCAATGGTTATTACTCCATGCACTGCTGTGATAAAAATCAACCCGCCTTTGGTGCAGTCGGTTCTGCTGTTGCCAGTGTTGGGAAGGTTACTTTTAAAATGTATTCCACTTCCGTTACTCAATGAGAATAACGTTATTCTCATTGAGTAACGTATATTCTGAATACTTTGGATTACTTAATATATTATCATGCTTTTTACAACTACATCAATTCACTATTGCTGTGTGATTTATTTCTATTACTGAAGGTTACTCGCCATACCAATACCAACTAGACTTTTAGATCTTGATATAAAATTAGTAACAGTAGGGCTACATTCTTTAGGGCTATGCCTGCAACACTCTGCCTATTGCCTTCCTGTTAAATAATGTTTTGAATAATAATTTTTTTAAATAATAATATTTAAAAAAAAAATCTTCCTCATTATGCGGGCCGCAAGTAGAGGTGACATGGGCCGCGAGATTGAGACACAGGCATTAGAGCCTCTTAATGCCTGTTTTGTTTGGGTTTCCACCATCATGGAATTACCAAAAATAGAGAAACAGGAAAATGTAATCCATTTATTTCAACAAAGTAACTGTATTCTGAATATCACCTTTTTAAATGGTAACTGTAACGGAATACAGTTACTCATATTTTGTATTTTAAATATGTTATGCCGGTACATGTATTCCTCCCCAACACTGGCTGTTGCAAAATCCTTGTCAGTGCTTAATCGTTAGACATTTCTCTGGCAAACTGTGCTGACAGTTACAAGGCTACTACTCCTATTTACAAAGAACTCAAATTTAAAGTGGAGCTGCTGTTTTGTTGTTGCATAGTCCAGTCACGTTGGGCGTGAAAAAGCTCCTCAGAAAAGCTTATGGAAGGACCAAAACCATCCCGAAGACACCACGAAGCTCGGTCACGAAGCAGCTTGAAACAATTGTTGCACGCCGAACACAGTCTAATGGCCCGCTTATAGATTTGCTCATCATGTATGCCCCTCTGATGAGGTTAACACCAGTTTATTGATTGCTGTTTGTATGTTTTCTCACTCTTTTACATGTCACCTCCTTGGCTCTGCCTCTCACAGTTGAGGATTTTATACCAGTGTTGGGGAAGAACAGGTATATGGGCTCTCTGGACAGGGTCACCACCGTGGAGAAAGAAAAACTCCCAAAGAGTTTCTGTCCTGATGTGAGTATGTATGCATGACTGTGCATCTGGGTATGCCTGTCGGGAGGGGCAAACATGGGCCAAAGGAGATGTTGGGACAAATGAGTCTACTGGGGCTTTCGGGGGGCCGTCTGCCTGCTCTGACAGGGTGATGAGACAAATTATGTGCAAGAATCAATAATTATCAATTTAGCCCTTTAAAGACACAGCTCACTGCTGTTTAGTGACTCACTCCAGTTTTTCCTCTGTTGCAGTTCAAGTGGTCCAGAAAGGGCTTCATGAGGGCCTGCTGGATTATACACAACCAGTACGTAACAAACATTCACCTTCACCGTGATGCACCAGCAGGGTTGAACACACTTTCATGTGTGGCTGTTTGGTGACGTTTTTGGAAAATACAATTCTCCTCTTTACTTCACTGGTTAAACTCACAGTATATAAATAATGTAATGTGGTGCTCTGTTGCGAGCTTAGACTCAGCATGTTATAGGATGGTGGGCAGGGTTTTAATTTCATTAGCAAAGATGTTTTCAAAACCCTAAATTGTAAATTAGATATTCCTACAATGAACTTTGATAAATCTTACAGTGCTGCTGCATCAGTCTGTGTTTCCAGTGAATGGTGCCTGTTGTCAAGGTTGGAGTTATCAGATTGTTTCCCGTTTTTTTCCCCTCCATCTGCCACAACTCACCTTCTTTTGCCTGTGTGTGTCGGGGTTGTTTTCACAGAGGTCTAGACCTGGTAAATGTCCACCTGTTCCATGATGCCTCTAACCTCATTGCCTGCAACTCCAGTCCTTCCATTTACTCAGCCAACCGCAATAAC